TTGACAATCAATCTATAACCCTAACAATCAATATCTAACCATAACAACAAATTTGTAATTTTAAAAACTATGCAATATAATTCACAAATAATGTACAAAGATCTAACTTGTACAAGTTTGCATCTCCATCGATGGGTTGGATACCTCTGCAGTAGGCCTCTTATTCTTATATACAAAGAGGCTTCTACATTGGGCTTCGCTTAGTTCCTCTCTTAGCCTCCTCACTTGAGCAGATAGAGTAGCCACTTTTACAGAAAGAGAAGTTATCTACATTCGTTCGATAGCAATCTAATCTTCAAATTTCCTCTTATCGTCGCAATGTAATTTTTGATTCATTATCGCGACACTCTTCCAATAGCTCAATTGCCAAGGCAATTCCATTTGATCAACTGCCTCTGTGTGCTACTCGATAGTTTCATCATCGATATTATGTGGCATACTCTATGAGATAAATACAGACAGAGTATTATTAAAAAAAGGAATCATTGAAAACTAATAGCCAACATTAACAATACATTTATAATTCACAATTTTACTACATTGCTTACCCATCCTTCAAGAATGATATCATCTTCTTTTCCCCTTTGCTTTTTGGGAAGAGGTTGTCTTGGGCCACGAGCCCTACCGACGTCTCTAGGAGTCGATTCCTTATTCTTCTCTCTCTTCAATCTTCTCTTCTTTTCTCTTCCTCTCTTTCTCCTTCTCTTGCTCCTTCCACAGCAAACCTCCCTCAATAGTGTGTACTTGGCCCTGGAACTTTGGAATCTTTATAGTAGCTTGCCTTGCTTTAGCTACTAGTGGCCAATCTCAGGGATCCCGCAACATCTCCCAGTTTAACCCAATTAATGAAAGGATGTCGCGTCGTACTTCTCACTACTGGCTTCTTGATGCCAGTAAGTTCATAATACCACAGGTGCACATTAGAAAGAGAATCTTAACAACCACCTTTAACATTAACAACAAATAAGCATCCATAACAATAAAAGCGTAACCTTGACAAGAAAGTTGTAACCATAACAACCAACACGTAACCTTAACAACTAACCTGTAACATTAACAACCAATCCCTAACCTTAACAACCAACCCGTAACATTAATATACAACCAGTAACCTTAACAACTAATCTGTAAACTTAACAACAAGTATGCAACCATAACAACAAAATAGGAATACTTACACAGACAAGCTGGATACACCCTTGAAGATATATAATCTTCTTCCTTGGCCCATGACCCTTTAGTGCCCTTTCAATTGCATCAAATGTCTCACTGAATATGTAGATCCCCCAACCAGTGTTATTCGCATGTTCGATGCTGTCAACATACTTGAATAAATGCCTAGGAATGCCAAGAACACTGCTTAGACACAAGATCATGCTCAGTTGGTAAAGGATCTGAAGCAAAACAAAGTCCTTCACATCTTGACGATCGGTTGATTGTACAAGCTTCATTAGAAGATCCTCTACATGGCATCTGGTGGGTGCTGGGAGAGGAGTTCTACTGCTGTCATCCTCGGATTTGGTGAAAACCTCGACCATATTCTGTTTTTCTGGTCTCGGTTGAGGCCAACAAGATCCCCCTCATTGGAGAACCATGTATGGCTCATTACCCATTGAAGATTGAATGAGAACTGAATGCCTTCTCCTGTTTTTGTATCAGTGAAGACAAATTTCATCTTTTTATCGTCCCACTGTCTCAGAATGTGCTCAAAAATGGGAAGATCAAGACCAGGAGGGCCAAAATGAACGTAGTGTCTGAATACACTTTCTTCGTATGCCTCCTAGTACCTTGGCCCTATATGCTGCACCAATGTATGCATGAACTCGTAGTAAGCAGTGAAGCTTGAAGTAGGCCACACCTCAGATGTGGTCTTTGCCTTTTTTCTACAAAGCAAAAACACAATACATTAATAGTTTGAAAAAATTCTGTAACAATAACAATTAAGCTGTAAAATTGACAAAATAGCTATAAACTTATCAAAAAATCTATAAGCTTCACAAGTAACGCCTATCCTTAACAACGAATCAATAACCTTAACAATAAACGCATAACCCAAACAACTAACATGTCGCAAGTTAACAATAACCTCCACAACTAACAACCACAAGTAAACAGTAACCTTCACAACTAGCAGTTGTATGTAAACAATAACCTTCACCACCGACTCATAACCTTAACAAGTAACCCTAAACGTTAACAACTAACATGCCACATGCCACAACTGAACAGATCAATAACCTCAACAACTAATGCATAACATCAACAATTAGTGTATTTCCTTGACAATTACAAGCTAACCTTCACAACCTAACAAAATCATTTACAATAACACAATAAACAACATATATTTGCGGTAAAAAATCACACAACTTAACAAAATCCTTCACAATAACACAATAAACAACATATATTTGCGGTGAAAATCACTTCTTTTGAACTGCGATGTGCTTCTCTTTAGCTCCACTTTGTAGATCCAGGAGCGTTTAGAGGCGGCGTTAGTGCCGATAGTGCTAGAGTTGCCCTCTAAATCTATTCACTGCACTAGCTTTTTGGGTTGAGCTGGACTTGAGAGATGAGAATGGCTAGCTGTGATGTCCTCTAGAACATGAGCAATTGAAGCGCCAGCATCATTCCACTCTGCTGCGATCGACGGTCTTTTTGAGATGACAAACTGCAATGCGTCGTCGTCTTCGCTATGTCGACATGTTGGGTTGCTTTGGGGTTGAATCGTCGGCCATTTTTTAATTAAGCTTTGGAGTTGGTTGATTTAGGGCTAGGGTTTTACAATGGGTTTCTGGAGTCGGTTCGCTTGGACAGAAGAGAGATGAGAAGGTACGAACGATGAGGAATGGTATAGATAAACGGGAGGCGGTTAAATCAAAGGGCATTTTGGGAAGAGCATGTTGTCTTTAAACGGTGTTTCACGTGGTGGGGTGTTTTGAGGGCTAGAAGAAAATTGCACGAGTTTTGGGGGGGCTTTTGAACCGTTGACAAAGTCTTGGTAGGGGGACACTCTCACTCGTTTTGGGGGGGCTTTTGAACCGTTGACAAAGTCTTGGTAGGGGGACACTCTCACTCGTTTTGGGGGCTAAAGGCAATTTTCCCTTTTATTTTAATAATTCAAAAGTTTTACCTGTATTTATTTTAAACGTGTCACCTTTCAAAGTTGTGTTTTCTAATTTATGTATAAGCCCAAAGCCTTACCCCACTAATTTTGAAAGTCCACTAATTTTAAAGTCCGCCCACTTTCAAAATTTTACTAGTATATTTTACTGAAAATCCGAAGCCTGCCAATTTATTTTTGAGTTCACTCAATTCCAGAGAGTCTTTTTACTTATAAACTCAAAGTTTGATCCTTATTATTTTTAAACATGTCTGCTTCCAAAAAGGGTTTTCTGCCTATGAACATAATATCCTCCATTTATTTTTAAATCCATCCACTTTTCAAAATCACTCTTAGACTTAAATGTACTTCACAAAATTAATTATAGATTCATTTTGTATTTTAATAGTTAGTTTGGTGTACAGTGCAAGTTGCTATATTGCCGTAACTTCTTATACTTTTCTTCTAATTGATTAGCTATATGATGTATTTTTTTCAACAAAATGCTAAAACTATTGTTTTGTTGGCTTTTTTCATTTTAATGTCCCGTCATTGCAAACCCTATATGGGTTTCTTAACCTAAAAACTCAAAGTTTACACCGACTCATTTTCATACTCATCCACTTCTATAAAGGGTTATTTGTCTATGAACAAACTCTTGCCCATCCAAGTTTACTTTGAAATACGTCCACTTAAAAAAACCACTCTTAGACCTAAAATATTTAATTAAATTAGTTTAAACTCACTTTGTATTTCAACAGCTTTGATATTTGCAGTGTAAGTTTCTATATTTTGGTATAACCTACTATTTTTTTAAAGCGATTACATCTACAATGAATTTTGTAATTAAATTATTATTTATTCTAACTTTTTCAAACTAATATCATGGCATCAAAGAGTCAATTTTGCTCGTTTAAAGTTGAAAATAGATGCGAAAATCCCTATGTTCATATCATAAGGACTCTACCTTTTTATTATTATTTTTTTCATTTTCTAATATTGTATCTTGAATATTCGCATGATGATTAGGGTCTTAGGGGTGTAAAAATTTTCCATATCCAAGGATATATATGTATACGTATCATACGAATATGGTTATGAAATATCTACATCCATAGGACATGGTTATAGATACGGATATGTAGTAAAGTATTCATATTCGTATCTAAAATATCTGAGTATATGTTTTGCAATTTTCTTTAGTCCTCGGATTAATTGAGTTGAGGTCAAGTTTGATTATCGACAGATCTAGTCATCCACATTTACTTGAACAATATTAATGAGTTTTCTTGTTCATATGAACTATATTTTCTTTAATATTATTATATTTTTTTATACATGTTTTGCATTCGCATGTATATTCTTTTTTGTATTCAATTTTTGGCCGGTGTTGATACAACTTTTCCTTACCAAGACGTATTTGTATCTATATTTATATTTGTAACTGTGACTAGTAACACGGATATAATAAGTATAATGTCCTAGTCATGTCCAAACTATTTGCACCCCTGATGATTGCTTTGTTATATTTTAAACTACAAGATTCTATTTACTAAAGTTTTCTTTTTACTTTTTACTTTTTAGCTATTAGTATCTTGTTACACTATCGTTAAAATGTAGTAAATAAATAAATAAAATTCTTGGGTAATTGCAAGGAGATAAAATGCGAAAAATAAAAATAATTACATTGAGGAAAGAGGGATCGTTCATCTATGTTTATCCTACAAATTAGCACCGATTTAATTAAAGTTAGTACATGAAATTTATAGATAGAAATTACTGTCAAATATAAGTTACTACGTGTAAGATCAAGTGGAATTCGAGCTACACGTGTCTAAGAACAAGTTATCTGTCAACAAAAAAGACATCTGTTACAACCTTTCAAAAAACCTTCACACTTTCATAAAACTAGAGCATTTCATACTCTCATCTCCTAGCTATCCTTCACCCAAAATCAAATAAAAAAAAAGCCCTAAATTGACTGGCTTTAGCAAAAGAAGTTCATCATCGTCATCCTTAAGGACCCAAATCCATCATCTCCTCTGAACCCACAGTTCCTGCAAAGAAAAACATGCAAGTTCTCTTTTTTCCCTCCGGTCGCGCGGTTCGTTTTTTGCGCGTGTTTGTTGCATTAAATTGAAATAATTTGCATAATTTCAGACTTCGTTTAGCTTAATATGGAAGACAAAGAGGAGATCAAGATGAAGACTCCGAGATTGAAGAAGCCAAAGAGGAAGAAGTACACTCCTAAGGTTATTAGAGAAGTAAAATGTGTTGTGAGAGTTCCAAAGACTCCGCCGAAGTTGAAGGAAAAAACTCCGGCAAAGAGAAAGTATATCCGCAAGGAGAAGAGGAAGAATGTAGAAGCTGATATTCAAGAAACTGTAGATGTGAAGAGAGAACTTGAATTTGATGATGTAGAAGAAGAGAAGGCGAAAGTAGTTGTGAAAAGGGAAGAGAGAGTCTGGATAACTTATGAGCGGCGGCGGAGGAAGAAAAACGAAGAAATTTTGAGCGAGGTAGAAGTGAAAACGTTGAGGACGTATGCTCGGAGGAAGAAGAAAGATGGTAGCTCAGTTATTACTTCGATAGATGAGAATTCAAAGGATCGTAGGGGAATAAAGAGAAGCTACAGTCTTATCGAAAACTCTACTCCGGACAGTGGTTTTCCTGTAAAGAAAATAAGCAGGAGGGAGAGGGGAAATATTGAGAGAGTGAATGAAAAATGCAACGCAGATCCTCCGAAAATTTGTAAGGAAAGAAGTGTGTGTGAAGATCACAATGCAGGTACCTTTCCCGTAAATTGCAGGAAAAGAAGAACATATAGGATGAACAAGCAGGCCACTGGATGGAAGAATATTCATGTAAAAATAAATGATGATGCTGAGTTACAAATGGCCATAGTTCCTTATGCTAATGGAAGGGGTCAGATGGTTCGCTTCATTGTTAAGAAGAAGAAGAAGAAGAAGAAGAGGATAAGGGCACAAGTTGATTTAGATCCTGAGACGAACAGAGTCTGGCAACTTTGGATGGCAACAGGAAGAATTGACGACGGAGATGAACAGATATGGTGGGAGGAAGAAAGGAGAGTTTTCTCTGAACGAGTTTATTCTCTCATCGCTCGAATGCATCTAATCCTTGGTACTAACTAGCTTTAAAAATAAAAATAAAAATTTTGCTAACATGCATTTGGGAAGTGGCAATTAGCAAACCAAAAGTTAATTTATTCCATACATCTCTCTAATGTTCCCTCAATTATTCACTGAAACAAAAAATTATCCAAATATGGATTTCAAAAAAATTTTGGTTCTTTAGCCTCATGCTTTGCTGAAATACACGTTTACAACGTCAACCAAAAAATTGTTTTGTAAGAGGCATGTTGTGTGGTGAAGGTAAGTTTTAAGTAAATACATTAACTAGAAGGTGCATTAATAAAAAGGAAGCTAGTTTAGTCCATCTAAGAAATTATGGTATTATTATAACTTAAATTTACCATTAAAATAATACATTATAATAGGATATGTCTAAGTTTCTATTAAAATGCATATAATCATAAAGGTATTCTGGAATAGTTTGAGTTTGGGCATCAAGCAGCAGCAAGCAGATTAAGCTTTCCAGGAGCCATCTTCTTTTTGTCTAAAGGGAGGTTAATGGAAAAGGGTTGACAACTATAATATGGAAATTATTGGTATTTCTAAAGTTTTGAAGTTATTTCATTTGTGAAAATATAATACAGTTGCATTTACAACTGTATGGGTTCATCTCCCTCCAGCTACAACCATTATTACTAATGCAATTTTGAAATTTTCAGTTATAAAAAGAGCTACTTTTTGCCAAAATGATTTAGAATCAATTCTTTCACAAGGCAACACCATGGAGATTACCGAGACCGCAAACATCATTATTTTGTGCTTTGTTTGTGTGACAATTGAATAATGGGAAGGTGCTAGCAGAGGAAACTGCTTCAGATTAATGCCCTCCTCTGTTCTTAGAAATGTAGCCCTCTCCATTTCTATTTCTTTTAACTATGGGTTTTCCTGGAGATCACAGGTGATAAAAGTAAGTTTAATGCATTTCTCTTCTTTTTTATCTACCTGTTCATCCTTATCTATACTCATCTATTTTTTTCTTTTTAAGTTTTTTCTTAATATACTCATGCATGTGGATTCAGCACCGCAAAATCTGTTGCCGTTGCTAAAACCACATTTTGTTTTAACAAAAAATTATTTTCATGTTTAAAACCAAAGATCTTCAAAGGATAATGGCCTGTAGTCTGATACATGACCAATCATTTTCATCTTTGCTTAAAGGTCTTTGTGACATTCTCCTTGCAGTATTTTATTAGTAGGGATTTTCTAGCCATTTGATGGTGAAAATTCATATGGTTTGCTCTAAATTTAAAATTCTTTTTTGTTTTAGGAAAGTTGCGTATAATCTATTGTGGTTATGTTCATATTCTGATAAACTTTTCCAAAGTTTCATGATGATTTTCTTAGATATTGCAAACTAGTTCTATGCCTTTGAACAGGCTAATACTGTGTCTCAGGCACAACATGCATTTTATTCCTTCCAGAAATTAAATATTTTCTTGACAAATCACTGCAAAAACTGGGAAGCAGAGTTTAGTGTTCAATATAGAAGACACAATTACCCATGTCCACACACAATGTTGTTAACTATTTGTAGTCTACACAATCACATCTCTACAAAAGCCTCATCATTTAAAAGACATGGAGACAGAAAAGGAATGTTATTGACTCATTCAAGAGAAAATACAATTACCTTGGAATTTATGAATTTTCATTTTTTTCAAAAAGAAAAACTGTGATTCTACTCGAGAACCCCATCCCAACGAGTTCTTTCCTATCGTCAATCAGGATGTAGAAGTTTAGCTACATAAATCCCAAATGCACCACTAGTCAATGTATGGATGACAAAAGGGTAAGCAAAAGACACAAGAAGGACCACAGCACAATAAGTGAATTGCAGATATACGAAAAAACTTTAGAGCTAAAAAGATAGAAAGGGAAAGGGATGCTGTAGGAGTGTTCTTTTGCTATACTTTCCATCATATGAGACAGACAGAAACTGGGGGACTTGTTTATCACTGCCATGTAGTCAGAAGTTTTTGGTCCATAGCTATATCTCTCTCATTCTTCTTGAACAGAAAATTGATTGATGAGCTTTATGGTTCTGTTTCTATTTTGAAATTACATTAATATAAGATACTACTATTACGCTGCTGATTGATGAGACAAACTAAACAATTGAATTGGCGTGAAGAGCTTAAGGAGTAACCTTCTGACATCTTAAATGTGAAATCTTCAATGCAATGCATAGATTGTACTAGTTTTATATGCATAGAGATGATTGAACAAGAAAAAAAATATATATGTCCCATATTATATTTTGTTGTATTATCACTTGTAAACAGTTTAGTTGAGAATGTTTATTGGCATTAAAATTTTCTTTTCAGGCGATAGAAGCTTTTCCAGATGGAAAGGGTCAGTTCTGGATTCAGTGACTGGCGTTTTCCTGACCCAAAATACAGCTGACCATCTTTCGAGGTAAACTTTGTTCCTTAGATCATTTAAAAAATGATTTGGGATTTGTAAGATATGGCTGTTATTTATTGTTTCTCCATATTGAATGGAAATCATCTATACTAATCATTTTCACTTTTTTAATCAGCTTATGGTTTCTGGTTTAATCTTGACAGCTCAGCATTTATGAGCCTTGCTGCAACATTTCCTCTTTTGGAGACCAGTGAAAATGAGCAAATCAATGAAGCGAAATCAAGTTTAAGAAATGAGGAATGCACAACCCAAATGGGTTCAGATGAGATTTTGAATACATCAAAAAGGAAAAAGGTTAAAGCCAAAATCAATAAAAAGAATTATGATTGGGATACCTTAAGGAAAGAGATACCTCACAAGGGTGTCAGTCAAGAGAGGAGCAAGGATACTATGGATGCTCTCAATTACGATGCAATAAGATGTTCTGAAGTGCATGACATATCTCAGGCAATTAAAGCGCGAGGCCAACATAACAATATTGCAGAGAGAATCAAGGTAATGCTTAAAGAATCTATTATTTGAAATCATGTTCTAAACTGGAGCATCAAATGCATTATTCAGGTCATTTGATACACAACAAGATATCTCATGCTACATTAGAGAATTCGATATATACTGCGCCAATATTTTTGCCAAATAAAATGTTAAAAGTATTAAACATAAAAAATAATGATAACTACACTACTCTCTCCTAAACTAATTCCACACTCTCTCCCAAACTAATTCCACACTATAAGAAAAACAAGTGTGGGCTCCATTGATGAGTCATCATTTTTTAACAAAGTTGAACGCAATGGACCCTTTACTTCTCTCTTCTCGTGTAGAAGCAGCATAGATAGTAGTGTAGTTGTCACTGCTCAAACATAAATGTAGCTCTCTTTATAACTGTAGCTAATAAATAGCGGCTCAATATACATTCGATAACAGAAATCTTGTAGTATATTCAATGAAAATTTATTCACTGCAAAAGGAAACATAGTAAAATTCTAATAAGAAGACATTCACCGTTAATTGTTTTATTATTATTTTTTGCAGAAATTACTTAATTGTTTAGTCAGAATTCATGGAAGCCTCGATCTTGAATGGCTAAGGGATGTTCCGCCCAACAAAGTGAAGTAAGACTGAGTATTTCATTTCAAATCATGTATTTTACAGATTCTTGAATATATATTTGTCGTCTAAAATTAGCCAGAAAGAAGACCTTGCATTTCTCCCTCGTCATAAGCTGTTTCTTCTATCCATTTTATCTGTTCATGCCTGGTTCAACTTGTGTCTTGCTAGACAGATGCCATTACACCTCGATTCTGAGTATGATATTCCTGGAATTGTATGCTGCATCTTAGTAATGGATCGAATGATCTCAATTCTATACGTTTAATACATCACTCTGTAACTTATATTGGGTACTGAGGGGGAGCTTGCCTCCACAGTTTCCACTACAAGCCTAATATGAAATATCAAGTATTTAGGTAGAGGTAGCACACTAAATGAATAAGCCTATTGTTCATATATGTCATTACGATATATGTACTTACGTATGATTTTTCCAGATGATATTTGACTTGGAAACTTGAAGTTATAATGCTTATGATGCTTTTCAGGGAATACCTCCTAAGTATACATGGTTTAGGTCTCAAAAGTGTCGAATGTGTTCGCCTTTTATCGCTTCACCAAGTAGCTTTTCCTGTAAGTGAACTACTTTGCAAAATTTAAATACTTAATATGCTTATCCTTACATTTTGCATGACCGAGCAGGTTGACACTAATGTGGGTCGTATTTGCGTAAGACTGGGATGGGTCCCACTTCAACCCTTGCCAGAGTCCCTTCAGTTGCATCTTTTAGAAGGGTAAGTAGTTTTACTACGAATTATAGAGTCCTTTCGGTTGCATCTTTTAGAAAGGTAAGTAGTTTTAATATGAATTATGTTGACTATTCTTTGTCATCTTACTGAGCAAGATAGAAAAATTATCATGATATATTATAATTCCTCTAAAGGTATCCCATGTTGGCAACCATTCAGAAGTACCTCTGGCCTCGGTTATGTAAACTTGATCAGGAGACACTGTAAGCTTTCTCACAATTGCAAGAAAATTTTGTAGTCTCAAGTTTCACTAACTTCGTAAGGTTATTATATATAAATCATCTATGAAACACTTGCATGACTTTGCAGGTAT